CATGATAAACAGAGAAAAGATTGAAGTTGTCAAGGATTTCATTTTACTTGGATCCACAATCAACACCCATGGAAGCAGCAGTCAAGAAATCAAAAGACGCATTGTGTTGGGCAAATCTGCTGCGAAAGACCTCTTTAAAGTGTTGAAAAGCAAAGATGTCACCTTGAAGACGAAGGTGCGCCTGACCCAAGCCATGGTATTTTCAATTGCATCATATGCATGGGAAAGCTGGACAATGAATAAAGAAGACCAAAGAAGAACTGATGCCTTTGAATTGTGGTGTTGGTGAAGAATACTGAATATACCACGGACTCCCAAAAGAACAAACAAATCTGTCTTGGAAGAAGTACAACCAGAATGCTCCTTAGAAGCAAGTATGGTGAGACTACATCTTACATACTTTGGACACGTTATCAGGAGAGATCAGTCCCTGGAGAAGGACATCATGCTTGGTAAAGTACAGGGTCAGCAAAAAAGAGGAAGACCCTCAATGAGATGGACTGACACAGTGCCTGCAACAATGGGCTCAAGCGTAACAACGATTGTCAGCATGGCGCAGGACTAGGCAGTGTGTCATTCTGTAGTACACAAGGGTTGTTATGAGTTGGAACTGATTTGATGGAACCTAACAACAACAGTTCATAAAGAAAATGTTCTATATCCTATTTTGGTGAATAGTGTCTAGGGTCTTAAAAGCAGCCGTCTAAAATACATCCATTGGTCCCGTCATATTCGGATCAAGGAGAATGAAGACAAACAAAGACACAAGGAAAATATCAGTCCAAAGGGCAAATGAACCACATGAACCAGAGCCTCCACCAGCTTAAGCCCAGAAAAACTAGATGGTGCCCAGCTACCATTATCGACTGCTCTGACAGGGATCACAATAGAGGGTTCTGGATAGAGCAGGAGAAAAATGTAGAATTCAAATTCACACACACACACACACACACACACACACACACACACACACACACACAAAATACCAGACTTCCTGGTCTGACAGAGACTGGAGGAACCTCCGAGACTATGGCCCTCAGACACCCTGCTAACTCAGAACTGAAGCCATTCCCAAAGTACACCTTTCAGCCAAAGATTAGACAGGCCTATAAAACAAACAATAACACACATGAGGAACGTGCTTCTTAGTTACAAGAGTATCCAAGTATATAAGAGTGAAATGGGCAACACCTGCCCAAAAGCAAAGAGGAGCAGGCAGGAAGGGACAGGAAAACTGGATGGATGGATATAGGGAAGCTGGGGTGTAAAGGGAAAGGGGGAGAGTGCTGATTCATTACAGGGACTGCAGCCAATGTCACAAAACAATTTGTGTATAAATTTTTGAGTGAGAAACTAATTTGCGCTGTAAACTTCCACCTAAAACACAATAAAATAATCTACAAACAGACTAATGCTCCAAGTAAGAACAAAGAGAAACAGATTTGATAAAGAACAAATCCAACTCTATGCTATTTACAAGAGAGAAATCTAAAACATAAGGATTCAGAAAGGTTGAATTACAGGATGAATATAGACATACCATGCAAAATTAACCAAAAGAAAGCTGGTGTTACTATATTAATATCAGACTAAATAGCCTTTATGGCAAAAGCATTCCTAGAGGTAAAGAGGGCAACTTCATAATAATAAAAGGTTCCAGTCACCAGGAAAACACATATAAAATTTAAATATATATACACTTAATAGCACAGTCTCAAATATTTAAAATAAAAATGACTGAATGATAGGGTAAAAAAGGCAAATCTCCAGAGTAGGAGATTTGAACTTACCTCTCTTAGTAATGGATATGGAAGCTTTGGAAGATTTAAGCAACTTTCCTAGCCACCTCACCTAATGGTCACATATAGGACTTGGTCTCCGACACACGCAGCATCTGTGCTTTTTAAAATTATCCATGGAACACTTACAAAAACTGACTGTAGAGGGCCACAAGCCAAGTCTCAACAAATTTTAAAGGAACTAAATCATACAGAGGAGCCCTGGTGGCACAGTGGTTAAGTATTCGGCTGCTAACACAAAGGTCAGCAGTTCAAGCCCACCCGCCGCTCCATGGGGAGAAGACTTGGCAATCTGCTCCCATAAAGATTATAGCCTAGGAAACCCTATGGGGCAGTTCTACTCTATCACATGAAGTCACTATGAGTTGAAAATCAACTCGACTGCAATGGATTTTTAAAAACTCATACACAGCATGTTCTCTGACCACAATGCAAATCATGACAAAAAGCTAACTGAAAAATCTCGTAACAAAGCTCTAGGAATTGACGGAATACCAACTAAGATGTTTCAACAAACAGATGCAGTGCTGTAAGTGCTCACTTGTCTATGTCAAGAAGTTTGGAAGACAGATACCTGGCCAACCGACTGGAAGAGATCCATATTTATGCCTATTCCCAAGAAAAGTGATCCAACAGAATGTGGAAATTATCGAACAATAATATAAATATCACACACAAGTAAAATTTTTCTGAAGATCATTCAAAAGAGGTTGCAGCAGTACATCAGCAGGGAACTGCCAGAGATTCAAGCCTGGTTCAGAAGGGGATGCGGAACAAGGGATATCACTGCTGATGTCAGATGGATCCTGGCTGAAAGCAGAGAATACCAGAAAGATGTTTACCTGTGTTTTACTTACTATGCAAAGGTATTCAACTGTGTGGATCATAACAAATTATGGATAACATTGCAAAGAATGGAAATTCCAGAACACTCAATTGTGCCTATGAGGAACCTGTACATAGAGCAAGAGGCAGTCGTTCAAACAGAACAAGAGGATACTGCGTAGTTTAAAGTCAGGAAAGGTGTGTGTCAGGGCTGTATCCTTCCACCATACTTATTCAATCTGTATGCTGAGCAAATAATCTGAGAAGCTGGACTATATGAAGAAGAACAGGGTATCAAGATTGGGGGAAGATTTATTAACAACCTACATTATGCAGATGACACAACTTTGCTTGCTGAAAGTGAAGAGGATTTGAAGCACTTACTGATGAAGATCAAAGACCACAGCCTTCAGTATGGATTACATCTCAACATAAAGGCAATAAAAATCCTCACAACTGGACCAATAAGCAACATCATGATAAACGGAGAAAACACTGAAGTTGTAAGGGCTTTCATTTTGCTTGGATCCACAATCAACACCCAGTACGAACACTGCATTGGACGAACCTGCTGCAAAAGACCTCTTTAAAGTGTCAAAAAGCAAAGATATCACTTTAAAGACTAAGGTGCGCCTGACCCAAGCCATGGTGTTTTCAATCACCTCAAATGCATGTGAAAGCTGGACAATGAATAAGGAAGACAGAAGAATTGATGCCTTTGAATTATGGTGTTGGTGAAGAATACTGAATATCCCATGGACTGCCAGAAGAACGAACAAATCTGTCTTGGAAGAAGTACAGCCAGAATGCTCCTTAGAAGCAAGAACGGTGAGACTTCATCTCACATACTTCGGACACGTTATCAGAAGGGACCAATCCCTGGAGAGAGACATCATGCTTGGTAGAGGGTCAACGAAAAAGAGAAAGACCCTGAACGAGACGGATTAACAAAGTGGCTGCTACAATGGGCTCAAGCATAACAATGATTGTGAGGATGGCGCAGGACTCGGCAGTGTTTAGTTCTGTTGTACACAGGGTCACTTGATGGCACCTAACAACAACAACAACACACCTATGATGTAATCCGGTTTGGAACAGGGCTTAGAACCAGTTTGTTCCGGTTTGAACCCCTGCTATAATTTGCATTTCCACCCCAGATATACTGAATCAGAATCTACATTTTAACAAGATCCCTAGGTGATTCCTATGCATAATAAATTTTGAGACCCACTGCTCTACTAGCGGTTCTCAGAACTGGTCCCTAATCAGCAGCATTAGCACTGCATGGGAACTTGTCAGAAATGCAAATTCTCAGCAGGGGTTCCAACCTGAACGAACCTGTTTGAAGCCCCAGTGTGGAAACAGGGTTTTCTTTGTCATGTTCGTGAGGTCCTATCAGTGTAGGGTGTATCCTATAACTAATCATTACTAAGTTACAAAAACAGCAGATTAGACACAGGCACAGGCACAATCTGGGAAAGACAGACGCCACGTGAGGATGGCCAAGAACCAAGCCCAACCCGCAAGGAAGGAATCAAGGCGGCCAAGCCCTGATTTGAGCTTTGAACCTCCAGAACTGTGAGAAAACAAATTTCTCTTCTTTGAAGCCACCCACCTGTGGTGTTTGTGTTACAGCAGCAAGAGCAAACTAAGACATAGGTCACAGGTAAGTGCACTTGGCAGTGCAGGCACTCAGCATGTGGGTCCTTCTCTGTCCCACCCAGGAAACGCTCAAAACACTCCTGTGCCAGGTGCCTGTGTGACACACCTGTTATCCAGCCTCAAATGGAAGTTGAAGATGGATTCCTTAGAGTCCTGGGACAACCCTTTTAGGGTTTGGGCCTCCCAAGCAGATGCTTCTTGGGAATGCAACTTTCTCTTTTGGCCTAACCTGCCTTAAATTAGCTTGGGCCTGGAAGCCTTAAATTAAAGGCAGAACTGAAGCCATCTGATTATAATCTAGTAGTTGGAACATGGGTGCAAGTCCTATTTGAAACGTGAGACATTTGTGGCCATATCATTTGAAAGACCAGCGTACTCCTTGTGCCTGGGAAGCAAGGGCTGAGCCTCTGCCCAGCTGGCCTCAGAGAAGGGTAGGCCAGACCTCTGGCCAGGCAGCCCCTGGGCCCTGCTGCAGATGGACCTATGTGTCCTCCTTGGCCAGGCCAGGCAGAGCCAGGACCACTAGGCCATGCCCCTCAGCGTGTGTCTGGGTGCCCATAAGAGCATCACACCCCTGCCCCCCACCTCCAGGTAGGGGGAACCGTTGTTCCCCTCCTGGGCTGAGAGTGTTCTCCCAGGGAAGCCCCCAACCTGCCCCCAAGCTTTAATCAGACCTCCCTGCCCCCCGGGGAACAGCCCACCAGTACACAGCCGGGGACCAAAGCCAAGAGCAGCCGGCTGCAGGAGGCTTACTTGGGTTTCTTGATGTCTGTCATCTTGGTGTGCTCGCCAAACTCCCGCTTCAGAAACTCCTCCAGTGGCCCCGACTCGTAGGGCCGTGAGCCCCGGAACACCTCGTCCTTCATGCGAAAGTACACGCCGCGCATGTAGGCCATGGACTTGCCTAGGACACAGGGGTTGGCGTGGAGAGGAGTGTCCTGCCAGAGAGCCTGTGCACGGCTGCAGGGCCAGCAGCGGACCTGGGTTACCCAGGCGCCAACCAAGCGTCAGCTTCTGGGTCTTCCCTCAAGTTCCCGTACAGGCAGAAATCCCCCTGGAGCATCCTCAAGTCCCTGTGCTTAAATCTTTTATTACTGTGGTAGAATGTATACCATAAAATTTGCCATTTTTAGCTGTACAATTCAGTGGCATTGATTACGTTTACATCTTATGCAACTATCACCACTATTTCTAAAACAGAAACTCTACTCATTAAGCAATGTCCTTAATTCTGTATTATTTTCCTTACAGGGGGGCCCCTGAATTGTACAAACTCCCTGCCACTTACAAGCTGGATCCATTCCTGTCTATCATGGAAAAGAAGGCACAGCCCTGTCCTCTCTCGGAGCACAGACAGGATCAAACAGGTAGAGTTACGAAGGGGCAGGTTCCCCTAACAGGAAGGAGAGGCCGCCCTGCCTGCCTGGTGGGGTGCCATGCAGGCAGAGGCTGGGAGACCCCAGGAGGCAGGAAAGGGCTGGAACGGGGGTTCCTGACCACGGGAGAGGTCACACTCGGTGATTTGGCACATCCCTGCCAGAGCTCCCTGGAGTCTGGAGACGACTCTTGATGGAGGACAAACATCCCCTGTGGCCCTTTCCTGAGGAGAGGCCAGGACCTCTACCCAGTCTGCCCTCTCAGGCCCCATGGGCTGGAGGCAGGCTCTTGAGACAGCTCTTCTCTCCCCGGAAGACAGAAACTGAGGACAAGAGAGGGGAGGTGTGGCTCAAGGCCAGGGGAGGACACAGACCAGGAAAGGAGCCAGGAAGCAAGCACAGAGGGGAGAGTGCTGGGTGTACAGACAGAGACTCAGTCTAGCTCACTGGGTGACCCTCTCTGGTCCTCAGTTTCCCCATCTGTAAGGGCGGTAATACCCTACTCACCTCACATGGCAGTGGTGAGAACCACCAAAACGAAGTGAAATGCTCGTCAATGAAGTGCTGCAGATAATAAAGTCTCGTGTGGCTTGCAAACTGTTGACCCTTCTTCCCAGAGCCCCTGGGGCACTGCTCTCAGCAGCCTCCTGGGCTGGCCATGCCCGCGCTTCGGAAGCACCCTGGACTGCCGGCCGTGGCCCTCCCCACACTGCCCAGGAAACACCCAGACCATGTCTGTCTCCCCCACCCACCAGGACGCCCTGCGTCAGCTCTGCACCCCAGCACCCAGCACAGACCTGGCCCACAGCGCCTTCATGCCCCCATAGGGTCCCCTCTGGTGCTTTCTGGGCTATGGACAACCAGGATCCAGATTTGGAAGGCGCCTTGCAAGGCACGAAATCCAGCCAGCACCGGCTAGACCCACCAGTCGGGGATGCTGAGGCCCAGGGCAATTCCCACCTGGGTGGTGGCTGGACCGCCCAGTGATTCTGGGGGCCACCCTCACACTCAGTATCACACCACTCAAACTCCACAAAGGAGACCCCATTTGAGGTGAACACTGGCCTATTCAGAAGTCTGCCTAGTCAGTACAGTGTCCTGTCTGTCCCTGGGGCTCAGTGCCCACCTAGTCTTCATAAAGCTGTGGTGGAAGCAGCCTGTGGCCTTGGGCAGATTCTGGGCAGGGAATTTTGGAACTGGGTTCTAGCCTGAGCAGGCCCGCTAAAGGGTGATGTGACTTCGGGTCATCCCACTTTAGGGCCACCATTTCTCCCACCCGTGGGTAAAATGAAGCCGATGACCAGGGCTCAGACACTCTGGGACTTGAGGCTCCTCAGTCCTCAGGCCACCACCCTATCTGTCCCAGGATGACCTCCTTGTTTCCAGCAGGTGTCAAGGCCCTGGGGTGCCCACCCTGCTGGGGTGAGGGGAGGGGAGGTTGAGGCAACCAAGATAAAAATGCTTCACTCGGCCTTGAGTTTATGTTAATGATGGGATAATTCAGAAGAAGACAGTGATAATGGTTGCATAGAGTCCCTGGGAGGTGCAAATCGTTAAATTCTGGACTACTTAGCTGAAAGGGTGGCAGTTCAAACCCACCCAGAACAGGCCTGGCGATCTGCTTCCGACAGGTAACAGCCTTGAAAACCTTATGGAGCAGTTCTACCCTGCACACAAGGGGTTGCCACGAGTTGAAATCAATTTGATGGCAACCATCAGCACCACCAACAATGGTTGCACTGTATGAAGAATGTCATCAATGTCACTGAATTTTACATGTAGAAATTGTTGAACTGACAAACATTTTGGTATGGATATGCTCACCACAATTAAAAACAAAATCTCTTCCCACACCAAAAGGACAAGCAACTAGTTCTGGCGTCTAGGGCGGGGGCGGGACATCTAGCCACAGCCCACCCTCCCAGCCTTTCTCCTCCCAGGCTCGGCCCTACATCCTTGCTGCCTGCAAGGTTCTGGTTTATAGCCCTTCCCTACCCCATGCCCTCTGTTGCAAAGCTCTGAAAGTAAATGCGGCCCTCTTTGAGGGCAGGTCCCGCCCCACCCCACCCTGCCCCGCTGCCCGGGGGCTGCCCTCACTGTGCAGAATGGCCAGGGCCAGGATGCCCCCTGTACTGGTCCCGGCCACCCAGTCAAAGAGGTCCTTGGTGGCGATGCCTGAGGCCTTCTCAATGGCAATGAGGAGCTGGATGATGATGAGTCCTTTCACACCCCCGCCGTCCAGGCAGAGCAGGTGGTCCTGGCTGCGGGCGGACATTGGTGGGAGAGAAGAGGGGCATGTTACAGCCTTTGTGGGGCCTCAGCTGCCGCCAGCACTTCACATGGTCCCCTCACTCAGTAAGTGGCCCCAGAGCACGGCGCCCTGGCAGATGCAACGAGTCACAGGAGACGAGGCCCTGCTCTGACGGAGCTCACATGCTACTGTGGGGTTGGGGAGTTGTTATGGATTGAATTGCGTCCCTCAAAAATACGTGTTGTAAGTCCTAACCTCTATACTGTGCATGTCACCCCATTTGCGAATAGGGTTTCTTTGTGAATGTTACTTAGGTCATATCAGTGTAGATTCGGCACAGAAGCAAGGGAGCACAGAAGGGGGACAGATGCCACACTACATGACAATCACCAACCCAATGAGGAAGAGATGCTGAAAAGGAACAAGGGAATTTCCCCAGAGCTGGCACAGAGAGAAAGCCTTCCCCTAGAGACGGTGCCCTGAATTTGCCCTTCTAGGTGGTGCAGTGGTTAAAGCACTTGGCTGCTAACCATAAGTTATTTCTCTCACAGTCACTCTGTGGGAGCAAGATATGGCAGTCTGTTTCTGTAAAGATGTACAGCCTTGGAAACCCTATGGGGCAGTTCTACTCTGTCCTATAGGGTCACTATGAGTCGGAATCGATTTGATGGCAGTGGGTTTGTTTTTTTTTAGCCTCCTAAACTGTGAGAAAATAAATTTCTTCATTAAAGCCACCCACTTGTGGTGTTTCTGTTATAGCAACACTAGATAGCTAAGACAGGAGTGAAGGTTGAAGGCAAAATGGATAAATGCACAGTATTTCAGGAGGAGGAAAGTGTGAAAGAGAAAAACAGAGCCAGGTAAGGGGAGCAGGAAGGTCCAGCAGGCCTCATCAATAAGGTACCATCTCAGCAGAGACCTGGGCCAGTCTTCCCCGGGCTAGACAGGGAGCTCCCTGAGGGTAGCAGCCCGATTTTGGTCAGGTCTATAACCCCAGTACCAGGCCTGACCCCAAGTCGGTGCCTGATAAGTCTATTTGAATTAAACAGGTGGGGGAAGTGTTATGGATTGAATTGTGTCAACACACATTTTTGAATGAATGAATGAAAGAATGAAGCTCCAAGGTTAAGTGACTTGCACAAAGTCACTCAGTGGGCATGTGATGCAGGCTGGATTAGAACCTGGGTCTGCTGACTCTGGATTCATGCCTTCCCCAAGACGCCCTATCTTCCCAGGTCCTCCAAGCCTTGGTTGCCAAGCCCCTGGGGCTGCAGAACTCACTGGGCACCTGCCCTCACTGGCCGTGCCGTAGGGGAATGCCGCCATGGGCCTGGCTCAGACCTGGAAGCTTCCTTCTGGTCTCATTTTTCCAGCTCAGCTTAAATGTCACTGCCTCAGAGAAGCCTGCCCTGATGCCATCAGTATGGTCCAGCACTGCTGGCTGTGGGCCCCTCTTGCCCTGATAATCAGTCCTTTTGTCCATTTGTTTACGCTCTTTCTCTCCCAGTGGACTAGAGGCTCCCTGAGGGTGGGGATGGCGTCTGCTCCAGGCAGCACTGTCTACCCTTGCATATTCAGTGGATGCAGGAGGTGTGCAGCGGAGAGCTGAAGAATGACAGAGGCCCATGTGTCCCAACTCTAGGGCCCTGCATCTTTTCTTGACAAGGTTCCCAGTCCCAAAACCAGCCTGGCGGGAGGCAGGGAGGCTGCGCTGGCCCCAAGGACCGCAGAGCCCCTGACCAGGAGGCTGGAGTGAACAAGCCAGGCCTTTCTGAGGGCCTTGGGAGTGCAGGCTGGAGCTATGCGGCTCACAAGACCTGTGAGAGGAAGTCCCCTACGTGTCTCCAGGCACCAGCACCTCTCTCCCCACCTCCAGGTGGGGGCTCTCAGGCTCTGGCAGCTCTGCTGGTCCCACTGGGAACCCACCTCTCCTCTAACTGCCCAGGAGATGTTGGCCCTCCCCCCAGTGCTGTCCCAGCCACCCTACCTCTGCCCTCTGCAGGTGTTGTGTGTGCACTCGAGGGGAAAGGGGGGGCACAAGAGGTGGGGAGTGCCAGGATGCTGATGGGGCAGAAACACCCTCAGGGCTTACAAGACGGAGTGGTATGCAAATACATGGGGTACGCCCAGGGATAGCAGGCTCTTCGGCGATGAGGGGCAGAGCCATGGGGTCCGCTGCCCATCCCCTGGAGCAGAGGCTGCATCTGCCTACAGGGCTGGCACAGGGTGTAAGCCGGGATGGGTCTGTCGAGCAGGAAGGGTGTGAATCTGGAAGACCTGGGTGTAAGTTTGTGTCTGACACTCACTGTGTGACTTTGAGCAGGTCACTTAACCTCTTGGGGCCTGAAGTTGTGCAGCTGCAAAACAAGGTCACTAATACCCGACCCCTAGGAAGGCTGCTGGGAACACAGGGAGGTAATAAACGGAGAACAGACAAACGGTAATATGAAAGGGAGGGTTGTCAGCTGGAAACACATTTGTCCGGGTAACGTGCAGTGCTGGCTGGCCCTGACTCTGGGCACCAGGGACTGGGCCTCAAGGGCGGGGCCTTGGGCTTCACTCTTTGTTCCCCTTCACCCACATCTGCTCCCTAGGCTGGGTCTGGGGTACAGCAGGTGCCTGGGGAGCCAGGCCACCCCACTAACTCCATGGAGGGTGCAGACTAAGGAAGTGGGTGGGGGCTGGGGAGGCAGGTGCAGCCTCGCAGCAACACTGACATCCCCTTGAGGGGTAACTGGTCATCTTCCCCTCCCCAGACCATGACAAGACTGCAGCCAGACCTGGCCTAAGCCACACCAGCTCCACCGTGGACTTGCCACCTGAGCCTGCCCAGTTACTGGTGAAGGCGCAGACCAGGCACCTTGTGACTCAGTCCCTGCTGGGAACTAGAGACGGAGTGAGTGACCTTGAAGGCCTTGGTGAGGGCTGGAGGAGGCCCGAGGTCGCCCCACTTACCTGCGTTTCTCGCCCCGCAGAGAGTTCAGGATGAAGGCTGGCTTCCGGGCCCTGGTGATGTGCGTGATGTCCTGCAGCTCTGCAGAGCACAGGGCAGGCAGAGCTGGGCCAGGGTCCTGACCCCGCCAGCCCACTGGCCCCTAGAGTCAACCTGGGGCTGCATCCCTCACCCCACCACCCCCAGGGAAGGCTCCTTGGGGACAGACGGGCCACAGCAATGAAAGAAGCCTGAGCTGCTCTGGAAAGGGCCCCCACCCTGCCCAACCAGCTCGTGGGATTCCTCTCAATGTCTTCCCCCTGAACCCCGAAGCAGGCCCACCCTATGTGTGCCCCATGTTCATAGTTCAGTGATCTACATGCATCAGAGCTGATGCTGCGTAGGGTAAGAATTAGTCTCCCAATTTACAGCTGAGGCTTAAAGAGACTATGGGGCTTGTCTGAGGTCATTTAGCCACAGGGCAGGGCCAGGACATTCCTTGGGGTTTAACTTCATGAGTGTAGGGGGGAATCCTAACCACTCTTCATATGTCCCTCATCCCAATCCCAGGTCTGGAAACTTCCTTAGTGGTCTCTGGGATTGGATCCACCCATCCACTCCATCCACCTTTCCCCTGTGCCCCAGGCCCGCCCCAAGCCGCATGTCCCCCCCATTTGGTCAGCTGCCCCTCCTGATAAGCAGCCTGGTGCCCGGCCCAGCAGTGCCCCCGATTCTGACATTAGCAGGCCCCCATTCTGACATTAGCGGTGGGCTGAGTGTGGAGCCTAGAAGCAGCAAAGCAGCGTGTCTGCAAAGCGGCGTGCCTCCCCCTCCCCAGGGCAGGTGGCCAGAGTGGCGGGAGACTGGCCAGGAGCGGCAGCAGCACTGAGAGCCACAGTGCTAAAGAGATGCCTGAATCTGGGGATGCAGCTGAGAAAAAGGAACCGCAGGAACAAGGACGACAGCTAACCCAGGGCCTGGTGGGGCCCTGTGGCCTCTCTCTGCCCAAGGCATTACCCACCGGACGTCGCGCCCCAGGCCCACCATCCAGCCTGGTGTGGGTGGCTGCCTGCCTGTAAAATTGAGATAAAAAGGGAGATGGTGGTGGCAGTTCCCAGAGGGCTGGGCAGGGGAAGGACAGAAGTGGACCAGGAGGACTGACTGTGGCCACTGGCTCTCTGCCTCCACTAAGCTCCAGGCTGGGCTGGGCTATCCTCAGTAGGGGCGCTGGTGTCTGCTTCCCCAGTGGGAACAAAAAAGGTCTGGCTTGCCAAGGATCAGTTCCTGACTGCCCTGTTCAAGGGACTCCATAGCCATTTGGGCCCCTGGGGAGAGCCAGCCCACAGCAATCCCAGAGAAGGGTCTCGTCTCCTCTGGGGCCGTCTCCCTGGGCAGCCAAGGAGGCCCCGGGGGCAGATGCCTCTGCAAGCCTACAGGTCACCCAGTGGTCAGCAAGGGGGCACACAGTCCTCAGGCCAACAGAGAGAAAGCAGTGCTGCAGAGCCCACCCTGTTCAAGCCAGAGGGCCACACGCTCTGGGCCCCAGGCTGCACTCCTTCTGGCCCATGCTGAGCTCCCAGGGAACTGGAGACAGTGCGAGCACCAGCCTCGGGGTGCCATGGGGAATACCCAGACCCGAGACCCATGTCCAGGGCATCCCCTCAGGGGCAAGGGACTGTGAGACATCAGCCAGGACCCTGCAGGCCTCTGGGATCTCTGGTGGCTGGCTGCCCTACAGAGGCTGACAAGTCTCGCTCCATCCTCCTTGCTCCCCTCCACCCATTTCTTTCCAGTTGGGACTACTTCAGAGCCCAGGCCCTGGAGCCAGGCTGAGAGGAGGGAGCTGGGAGGCGGAGCAGCCTACCTAGGTTGCTTAGGCTGATTGATGGGGGCTGAGCTCTTTCCAGGGAGATGGGGTGCTGCGACGCTGCAGAGCCCTGCTCCGTGGGGACCCCTGGGATGAGTGGGAAGCGGTAGTCGGCCCCTACAGTTCTCAGCAGAGCTAAGAGCGTCTTCCTGGTGACAACTTGTCATGGTTTGGGGAGAGGGAGATGGCACAGGGTCAGAAATGATGTCATCATGTAGCTGAGAGGCCCCTCCTTTCCACACAGTCCCCTCTCCCTCAACCAGGCCACCTGGGTACATGAGGGCTGGGGGACCCTAGAAGCCTGACCCCACCCTGATGGGGTATGTTGACTCTAGTGTGTCACATCCTGAGAAGCCTCCTAGGGTCAGGGAAGGGCCAGGGGCCACCATGGAGTAGGCAAGGGGTCAGTCTTGCCCTGCCCCATTATTTGGGGAACCCCCTCTTTCTCTTCTACTCCAGTCAAGAAAGCATTCCCTCCTCCATGTTCAGCAATTCTCAAAATTGCTGAATGGACAGTCCCTTTCAGAGTTCTAAAGGGGCTAACTAGCCAGCCAGTGGGCATTCAGCCCTATTTAACAGATGGGATGACTGGAAAGGGTGCCACCCACAAGGCAGCACACACACACTGTGGGGTACATATCCACAGCAACCTCCGCAGCTCCCTGAAGCCCCCGAGAGAGGATGCCAGTCTCCTAGTGAGGGGCATCTGCTTTCTTCAGCTCTGCAAGGCTCACTGTGTGAGCAAACGGCGCATGCACACAAGCTGTATACACGTGGGCATGCACAGGGGCCTGTGTAGTGCAGTGCACGCACCAACCCAATGGCTGTACAGGCAGTCCCCGGGTTACAAGCGAAACTCGTTCCTGTGTCTTTAAGTCAAATCTATAAGTCGGAACAGGTGCATATGGTTCTTACTTAGCCTTACTTCAGTGCAAGGAAGGCTCAAAGCCTTTTCAATGATTTGAGAGCTGTTTGTGCAGCAAGTGAAAGGGACTGTGATGAAGAATTAATTGTGTGCAGTGGTTGATTCAGTTGTTTCAAAGTCACATAACCTTAAAAGGCAAGTACTAGTTGTCTGTAAATTGGACTTTGTAATCCAGGGACTGCGTGTACTTGCAAGTGGTCCCACCTGAATTCCCCAAGTGGGGCTGAGGCTGCTGCTGCTGTCTGCCCCCGCCCAACCTGTGCTGGGAGTCCAGGTACCCTGAGGAGGGATGAGGGCCTGCACAGAGGAGAACACTGGCTTGACGAGCCCCATGGTGGACCTCCTCTACTGGTCAGGGCCCCTATTCCTGGGAGAAGGAAGCTCCCCCTCTGAGCCTCCCAGGTGCTCCCAGCCACTCCGTGTAGGCTGCAGCTGGTGGGGATGACAGCTAGAACTCCCCTCCTCCCATCCCTGCACCACCACCCCTGCCTCCACTCTGTCCCAGAGAGCAGAGCACGTACGTTTGCTGATTCTGTTGGCTATGAATGCAGGAGTCTCTCCAAAGTCATTTGGGGTGTCCACCTCTGCCCCAAAGACAATGAGGGCCTTGATCATCTCCACGTTGTCTTTCTGTTGGGAATGGAATGACAGGAAAATGCAAAAAAGCTCAGGGAAATGAAGAGAAAAAGGCTCCCTGGCCTTCTCCACCCTACGCATCAACTAGGTGGGCCTCTCACCAGCGTGGGGAGGGGGGAATGGAGACTGAAGTCCTTTTTATCCCCCGCCCAGCTGACCTGGTATTCCAAAGTCTGCCATTTGAACCTCTGACAAACAGGCTTAAAGGTACTCACAGGTGAGGGTCTAGGAACCCAGGCAGAAACTGCACCACCACCACCCCAGCCTCGTCAGCTTCTGCTCGAAGGAAGCAATGCCTCTCGAACTCTGACCCAGGGGCCATGGGGACACTGAAGGGTCAGCTGCTGATGGCTTTCCAGAGTAGCAGGGAGAGGGGGTGCAAGGAAAGGGAAGTCTGTCTTGCCCTTCCAGCCAGAACATCATTTCTAATAGGGAAGCCAGGCACTGCTGGCAGCCTTCAAATCTAGCTTCTCTCCACAGAATATTACGGATTTAAACATTTGGAGGCCAGGATGGGACATGAAAGAAGGGGCATGGCATGGTCTTGTAGGACAAACTGATGGACTGGCCACTGGGGACTGAACTCGGGTCTTGTAACCTCCCTCCTCTCAGGCCCAGCTTCCTTGCCTAGAGAATGAAGGGTGTGTCTAGAATGGGTTTTCCAAACAGTTCTTCATGTGCCATTAGGATTTATACAGGCACAGATGAATACATATGGTTTAACCGTTGTTGTTGGTTGCTGCTGAGTCCATTCCAACTCATGGCGACCCCATGTGTGTAAAGTGGAACTGCTCCATAGAGCTTTCAAGGCTGTGACCTTTCAGAAGCAGACTGCTAGTCCTGTCTTCCGAGGTGCCTCTAGGTGGGTTCAAACCACCAACCTTAGGCTAGTAGTATTTAACCGTTTGCGCCACCCAGGGATTTTAATCGTTACTTAGGCATTTATTTTTCGGTTACCTCTGATTTACAGCACCGGTTCTCTACTTCAGGTAAGGACATAACATTCCCTTCAAAATCAATTTGAGTTTGAAAGTAAGCCAACTTGAGGAAATTATTAAGCACATAATTGTCAAGGTGGTTCATAAATATGACAAAAACTGTGAGGACGGTATGCAAGTAACTGAAGTATGGAAACAAGAACTGCTTCAGTGGTTCTCAAAGTAAGGTCCATGTACCCCTATGAGTCTGAGACCCTTTCAGAGGGTCTGTGAGATCAAAACCATTTTCATAAAAATACCAAGATATCATTTGCCTTTTGCACTGTGTTGGCATTTGCACTGATGCTACAAAGCAATGGTGGATAAAACCGCTGACATCTTACCACAAATCAAGACTGCCACCAAAGCTAATATTTACATGGTTTTGTTCACCGCCATGCACTTGCAGTTAAAAAAAAAAAAAAATCCAGTTCCACTTAAGAATACCCTTAAAAAACAAAAAAGGGAATGCCTTTATGAAGCAGTAAAAATTACTCATATTATTAAATCTCGATCCTTGGGCACACATCTTTTTATTATTCAGTGTCATAAAACAGAGAGTATGCATAAAGCATTTCTGCAGCGTATCACAGTAGGATGTTGTCTTGAAGAAAGGGACTTGTACGGTTGTTTGAGGTGTGAGATGAACTCACTGCTTTTTTCACGGAACACTTTTTATTTGAGTGAATAACTTGACAAACTATGATTATTCTCGACAATGAATGCAGTGAGTCTGTAACATCTAGAAAAACGACTGATAGTAATTTTTGCCAATGATAAAAATTAGGCTTTCCAGCAAAAATTTCCAGCAAAGAATTTCAGCAAACTTGTATACGCCATCATGGGCTTGAAAGCTTCCCAATATTTAAAGACTTTTCTGATGAGATCAGTGGTAATATTTACAAATGTGAGGGTTTTCCACACTACATAATAAAAGGAAGAGTCACTGGGTTACACAAATAGTTAAGCGCTTGGCTACTAACTGAAAGATTGGCAGTTTCAATCTACCCAGAGGCACCTTGGAAGAAAGGCCTGGTGATCTGCTTTGGAAAGGTCACAGCCATGGAAACGCTATGGAGCACAGTTCTACTCTAACATACACACGGAGTCACTATGAATCTGAGTCAACTCGATGGCAACTGGTTTGGTTTTTGGTTTATAATGAAATGGGTCGACATTTGGAAGTTATGCAAAAATCAGAGAACCAGTGTTTTCCAATGATGATACAAGATCAAGCATGGGCAAAAGATCCAAGCAAAGCGCATCACACAACAATGGATTTAACGTAACAAAGCACTAAAAGTTCGCTGAGCTGGTTTCAGAGTCCACACTGCAACCAACTCTCCAGATACCACCACTATCCAGGTTCGGCGTATCCAAGGAATATCCACAATGCTCTGAAAAGGCTATTAAAATACTCCTCCCTTCCAGCTAGGGTGCCCAGTTACCACCACTGACTGCTCTGGTAGGGATCACAATAGAGGGTCCCGGACAGAGCGGGAGAAAAACGTCGAACAAAATTCAAATTCACAAAAAGAAAAAAGAGACCAGGCTTGCTGGTCTGACAGAAACTGGAGAAACCCTGAGAGTACGGCCCCCAGATACCCTTTTAATTCAGTATTGAAGTCACTCCTGAGGTTCACCCTTAAGCCAACGATTAGACAAGTGTATAGGGCCAGCAATAACACACGTGAGGGATGTGCCTCATAGTTCAGTCATGTATATGAGACTAGTGGGCACACCAGCCCAAAACCAAAGACGAGAAGGCAGGAAGGGACAGGAAAACTGGATGAATGGAAACAGGGAACCCGGGGTGAAGAACGGGAGAGTGTTGACATATCGCGGGGTTGGCAACCAATGTCCCAAAACAATCTGTGTATTAACTGTTTAATGAGAAACTAATTTGCTTTGTAAACTTTCACCTAAATCACAATAAAAAATAAAAGAAAAAAAATTCCATAAATCTTAAAAAAAAAAAACAACTCCTCCCTTTTCTAACTACATATCTGTGTAAAGGCCAAATTTGCTTCAAATTCATCAACTAAAAAATACATTGCAAGAGACTAAATATAGAAGATATGTGACTCCCCACGTCTGCTATGAAGCCAGGCATTAAAAAGATTTGCAAACATGTAAGACAATGCCACTCTTCTCAATTGATTTTTTTTTTGCGGGGGGGGGACTTTGGAAAATAAAGTTATTTTTTAATGTTATTTATGTTAGCATGTACTAGGTTTATTATTTTTAAATGAATTAATGAATACTTCTAAAATTTCTCACTTTCCATTTCTAACATGGTAAGCAGATATAATCACATCTAAATAAAAATTCATAGAGATCCTCAATAATTTTGAAGCATATAAAGGGACCAAACAAACCAAAAGAGTTGAGGACTGATAAACTAGATAATTCTAAAGGTCCATTCAGTGCTAAAAATGTCCACGGGTTTATTTATAGTTTCAGCCTCTTGGGCAATAACATCTCTGTAGTTATGACCTTTTATATAAAACAGGATGTTATGTCCTAAATCTACTACTTTTAAAGTCTCAGAGGTCTCTCCTGTTCTCACTCTGAGACCTGTTAAACAGACTTATGTGTGTATAGCATTGCTATAGAACACACACACGTGTGTCTTTTACACAATAACAGTGGTGCAAACAGTTAATGTACTTGGCTGCTAACTGAAAAGTTGCAGGTTCCAGTCTACCAGAGGTGCCTCAGAAGAAAGTTCTGGTGCTCTACTTCTGAAAAATCAGCCATTGAAAACCCTATGGAGCACAGTCCTACTCCAACACATATGGGAACGCTATGAGTCAGAGTCGACTAGATGGCAACTGGTTGTTTTTTTTCACCACTATGTATAATATGTATGTGCTGTAGTTCCCCAGCCAGACTGCAGAGGCTTTATGGGCAGGAACTACGTTCTAAAATAAATGTGACAAACATCTCCCATGGGCTACCAGGATGTGTCAGCAGCCCCTGCCTTCAGAGAGCTTACAGTCTTCCAGGGCGATAAGAACAACATGCAGAGGGCCATTTTCCCGATAATGATGGAAAGAGAACTAGCATTTGTAGGACGCTCACCCTGTGCCAGGTACTTTACGTGTGTCACCTGGGCAGTCGCCATAGAGTTGTCAAGTGCCTACCATTTAATCCTGCCAGCAACTCTGCCAGGTAGATATTGACACCTCCGTCTTCCAGATGAGGAAACCAAGGCTGACAAAGGTGATGTGACTTGCCCAAGGCCACAGGAAGCAGCCAGAGCTGTACTTTTTCCCTCTCACCAGGCAAGTGCTGAATGAGGAGCACAGCAGTAAACAGTACTGGGGCGCAGAAGAAGGAGATGTTATTTTGGGCTGAGAGGGCAGAGGAAGAGACATGGAAGGTTTCCTGGAGGAGGAGTCAGGCTCTGAGCCGAGCCTTGTAAGGAAAGGTGATTCTAAGCAGCCAAGGAAAGCAAGTGGGGCATTATGGGAGGGATGTGACAGGCCGCAAGCTCAGCCCTGCTGGTCCTCCTCGCCTCCCCACTGAGGGGAGGGAGCACGGGCCGGTGCACAAGGACACACGGCGTGGGCTCACCGACATAGCCAGGTGTAGCGGGGTGTTGCCGTGCTCGCCGCAGGCATCAGCGTTGGCCCCGTAGGTCAGCAACACCATGACACATTCGAAGCGGTTGCGCATCACCGCCACGTGCAGGGCGGTGTTTCCCGCGGAGCTGGTGCTGTTCACATCGCAGCCCCGCTTCAGCAGCATGCGGGCCATCTGTGGAAACAGATGGGCCCAGGCCCATCAGTGGGGCACTCGGGAAGCAGCATGGCCTGCTGTAATGGGTGGCACCTGGCACCACCCCCTTCTTCCTGAGAAGCCTTTCGGTATTGGCCTCCAGAAAGCTCTAGCAATAGGAAGAGCCCAGGTACAGACCCCAGTCTTAGGGATGGCCCAACACCTTGGCTCCCACATCCTCAGCACCCCAGGAACTAGGGACAAAAAGCAGGAGATGTGCCATCTGCTTTAACGGGCTTCCCAGTCCTATTCCTCCCTGCAAAGGTTCTTCTGAGGCCTGTCCCAGAATTGTCCCACTCCCTGAGGCCCGCCCTGGGACCCTGCAAAGCTATCATCCCTCCCCAGACCCTGCCAACACCACCCTTGCTCCCCCAGCAGCCCTGGAGAGCCTGGCTCAGGAGAAAGAACTGGGGCTTTGGAGTCAGACAGGCCTGAGCCCCAGCCCTGCCCCACCTTGCCCCAGCTATGTGAGCTTGGGTGGTCCCTGCACCCCTCTGCACCTCAGTTTTCCCTCCTGTGGAAACAGGAATGTGAGTCCCTACCTCACTGGGTATGATGACAATGAATGATGGAACCTTCGTGAAGAGCCTGACTTGGTGGCTCGCTCCTGGCACCCGCAGGTGCTTGGCAGAGGTTGGCAGGCCTGCCTCTGGGCCCATAGCGTTTACGGGCAGGCCGTGCACCACTTTGAAGCCCCCACCCTTCCAGGTGGACGGAGCATGGTTTAGGGAAAGACTCTAGGAGAGACGCCCAGCCAGGCTCTTGTGGGTGCGGCTGGACCCAGCATCATCATCATCATCACCACACCATGTTTTATTTGTGAGGCATTTGACAACCTGTGAAGAATTTTCTCATGCACTACCTCGCTGACTTCACATTTAAGCCTCCTCCTCCAGGAAGCTTTCCCTGATGACTCCAGGGGCAGGCCATAGGACCCCCAGTTCACGCACAAGTAAACTGAGGCTCAGAGGGGAAATCGCCACCCAGCCAGCGAGCACAGAGCACATCCCAGCTCTCCATGGACTGATCCACCTGTGTGCCCCCCACAAGATCAGCCCCTCAGATGCCACCCTCAGAGTCCTCTCAGGAGCCTCCTTTCTGCTGGCAGCTGAAGAACTTGGGGCTCTGGGGCCATTCCCCTCCTTCCCACCCTTAAACTCTGCACACCTCTGCATTCTTGGCCCAGTGCAGGGGGCTGGCTCCATAGCGAGGGTCTTTGCTGTGGATCTGGTTGCTGTCCATACTGATGATCATTTCAGCACACCTGAGGAGAGAGGGCCGCGGCAGTGAGGAGAGGCTGGGGTAGGCCTGGCACTGAAAGAGGTTACGATTTGGGGCTTCCTCGCTGGTCAGGGAAAGTTCCACCTGCAAAGAAAGCTTCAAGAGCACCAACTAACATGTTCACCATGTATCTCAGGGTGTACTGAGCCCCTCAAAGCACATTCAAGCCCTCTTCTCCAGGAAGCCTTCCCTGATGACTCCAGCCAACAATGCTCATTCCCACTGGTGCTGGTGTTAGTCAGAGATGCTGAGGCCCCAGCCCCAGCTCCTCAGGGTGACCTGTGCCAAGGAACCAGGCCTCGCTGCAGCATGGGGTCTGTTATGGGTTGAACTCTGTCCCCAAAAAAGGTGTTGTAAATTCTAACCCCTCTACCTATGGTTATAATGCCATTTGGGAATGAGTCTTCTTTGCTATATTTAGAGGCCATATCAGTGTAGGGTGTGTTTTAAGCCAATCGCCTTTGAGATGTAAAAAGAGATTAGGCATAGAGAAGCAGCAGAGATGGGAGAAGACAGATGCCACACCACGTGAAGATCACCAGGGAACCAGGGAACAAGGACCTTCCCCAGAGCCAACAGAGAGAGAAAGCCTTCCCCTGGGGCCGGCACCCTGAATTCAGACTTCCAGCCTCCTAAACTGTGAGAAAATAAATTTCTGTTTGTGGTATTTCTGTTATAGCAGCACTAGATAGCTGAGACAGGGTCCTAACAGGACCGGTCGGAATATACGGCAGACAATGCATTTCTGTGCCTAGTTCTGTGCCAGGCACACAGCTGACCCCTGCCACCAGCTACTGCTGGTGTTTTGCGTGTCGACCTGCATCCTGTAGGAAGCAGTATGGCAGAATGGTTAAGAGTGCAGTTGCTAGAGACAGCCCTGACACTAGTTACATGCCCTTGGGCAAGTTACTTAACATCTCTAAGCAAAGACTTCCTCATCTTTAACTTTGGGATAAAATACCTCTGCTTCACTGGGTTATACCGAAATAGCCACGGAAAGGCTGAGCCCAGTGGCTGGAGCAGCATTTGTTGTCAGTCGTCACTGAGTTGGCTCCAACTCACGGCAACCCCATGCGCAACAGAACAAAATGTTGCCCAGTCCTGCACCATCTTCACAACCGATGGCATGCTTGAGTCCACTGTTGTGGCCACTGTGTATTTTGAGTGCCTTCCAGTCTGGGGGGCTCATCTTCCAGCACTGTCTCAGACAATATTCTGTTGTGCTCCATAGAGTTTTCAATGGCTGATTTTCAGAAGTAGATCACCAGGCCTTTCTTCCTAGTCTTAGTCTGGAAGCTGCACTGAAACCTGCCCACTTGGGGTGACCTTGCTGGTATTTTAAATACTAGCATCACAGCAACATACAAGCCACCAGAGCAGGACACACTGACAGACAGGTGGTGGGGAGCAGCATTGTGTTTAACAGTTCTTACCTGTTACCTTCATTACGGTTGCTGTTGTTGTCGTTCCTTCCCTAGAGCAGGCCTGGGACTTCTAGTCCTCATCTCCCCACACCTTCACACCAGTGCCTGGCACACAGCACTTGCTTGAGCTGGACTTCCTCCTGAGGCCCTGTGGGGCCCCCAGTGTCCACTATCAGAAAGCCAAGGTAGCTGTGCTCATCTCTCCAGGCCTCGCTTGGGTTCAGCTCCGGGGAGCCTTCCCTAGCCCAGCAGGCTGAGCTGCCTTCTCTGAGCTCCTGGTGCAGCCCTCACGCATGTTCCATCCACCTCAGCAGCCGTCTCACTGTCTGGATCATCTGTTTCCCTCCAGGGCCGTGAGCTCCTCAACAGTAGGGACTCAAACACCTGAGCACCCTAGGCACAGACCTGGCTCTCAGTGGTTCTTAACGCCTTACTTCTGAGTTGAAGTAATAGCAGAGGGGGCTCCTAGAGCTGTGGCGGAACCACTGGTCAGTAACACTGAAGACGAGTGGTTCTAGAGCACGCTGGTGGTAAAGGACTCTCCCTGCTGGGCCTGTGGGGAGCACGGCAGCAGGGGCACATGCCGGGTCTGAGATGATTCACTGTCTCATGTTTGACGATGCTCTGTGTGGTCAGACGCCGACCCACAGGAGGGCCTGGGTGGGGGCGGAGTGAGAACATGGTTGAAAGTGTTTGAGGAGAGAGCACACTGGGCAAGGACCAGGCTCCTGGACGGTAGAGCTCAAGGTGGCTGGAGCCCAGCACCACCTGGGTGTTGTGCTGCCCTTTGGGTGAAGGACAGCATCACAGCCAGTCAGTGTCCATTCAGAGGCCACCTGACTGCTGGGAGTGGGGGACTGTGTTTTCTCCAATGGTTTGGTCAAGTCTTCCTGAAAGTTCTAATTCATTTTGATTGTGCTATGGAGAATACTTTATACATGTTAACAGGAAGGACCAGTCCCTGGAGAAGGATATCATGCTTGGTAAAGCAGAGGGTTAGCAAAAAAGAGGAAGACCCTAGACAACACAGTGGCTGCAACAATGAGCTCAAACATAACAATGATTATGAGGGTAGCGACGGCACACAGTGCTGTGTGGTTGACAGGGGTCTCCTGTCTCAGAGCTGCTTGGACTAGGGCTTGTCTTTCATTCATCTCTGTAAGGCCAGCACTTAGCACAGTGTCCAGGGCTGACTGACTAATGGACTCATTTATTCATTCTGAATATTGTTCTTGCTGGATAATAGTTTAAGACATTCAACTCTTTTTTCATCTTTTACTCATTCCCCCACCCACACCACACCTGTGCACCTTCGTGCATGCATGAACATGGGCACACACACACAGAAGAATTTTTCTGAGACCAAAGATTCCTAGGTCTGGGGAGAAGGGAAGAAATGAGAGAATGCTCTGTTGTTGGTGTTGGGTGACATCAAGTTGATTCCGATTCCAAGTGACCCCATGTGAAAGAAAAAAACTGCCCCGTGGGATTTTCTTGGCAATAATCTTTATGAAGCAGATTTCCAGGTCTTTGTCCTGTAGAGCCACTGGATGGGTTTGAATCACCAACCTTATGGTTAGCAGCCAAGCACTTAACATTGTGCCACCAGGGTTCTTTGAGAAAGCTCCAGTGCTCCCCAAAGCAGGGGCCTGGCATCTGCCTTCCAGCAAGGCCACCAGTCAGAAGAGGAAGGCAGCATCTGGGCAGCCGGGCCCCAGGCCACTTTGTCAAGCACTGTTGCCCTTTGAGCTGGGCATGGATACCACAGTGCCCCACCACCATGAAGGAGCTGTTCAGATCAGGCTGGTGGCCTTAGGTGGAAGAGGATCCAGGTCCACTGGTCCCCTCCAAGCCTTAGGGCTGCCTAAGACTCCAGACCCGGAGCACCACCTGAGGGGAGCTCGAAAGGAGGACTCGGGGAGGAATAAGATTGCTTTTCCCCAGTTTGGTAGAGGGAGGCTTGTGGTCAGAAATTATGTTGCATTCCAGAAAAATACAGTTTAAATCAGGAAAGGTGTGTGTCAGGGTTGTATCCTTTCACCATACTTATTCAATCTGTATGCTGAGCAAATAATCCGAGAAGCTGGACAACACGAAGAAGAATGTGGCATCAGGATTGGGGGAAGACTCATTAACAACCTGTAGTATGTAACTCGGTCAACTGGCACAATATGGTCCATAAAGACAACGTTCTACATCCTAGTTTGGTGAGTAGCGTCTGGGGTCTTAAAAGCTTGCGAGCAGCTGTCTAAGATATAGCAATTGGTCTCTACTCATCCGGAGCAAAAGAGGAAGAAGGAAACCAAAGATGCAAAGAAGAAACTAGTCTACAGAAACAACTAGTCTACACATACAACAGCTTCACCTACCTTGAGACCAGAAGAACTAGAAGAACTAGATGGTACTTGAGACCAGAAGAACTAGAACTACCAACCATTCTGATCAGAGATTCAATAGATGGTCCCAGATAGAATGGGAGAAAAATACAGGACAAAACTCAAATTCTGAAAAAAAGGCCAGACTTACTGAACCAGTAGAGACTAGATGAACCACCAAGATTATCACTCTGGGATACTCTTTAAATGTGGAACTCAAACAACTCCCAGAGGTCACATTTCACTCAAATGACAGATTGATCCATAAAATTACTCATGAGTACTGTCCTCCACTAAATAATCATCTAAATGAAACCAAATGGTAAACATTTTCCCTAGTTCAAAGATGAGAAGGTAAGGGGGACAGGGAAACTAGATTAACGGAAACAGGACAACCAGAATGGAAATAACGAGAATGCCGATATATTGTAAAAAATGTAATCAATGTCACTGAACAATATACATAGAAATTGTTAAATGAGAACCTAATTTCCTGTGTAAACTTTCACCAAAAACACAATAGAATATTTAAAAAAAAAAAAAACAACAACCTTGCAATATTAAGATGGCACAACCTTGCTTGTTAAAAGTGAAGAGGACCTGAAGCACTTACTGATGAAGATCAAAGACTACAGCCTTCATTACGGATTACACTTCAACATAAAGAAAACAAAAATCCTTACAAACAGACCAATAAGCAACATCATGATAAACAGAGAAAACACTGAAGTTGTCAAGGACTTCATTTTACTTGGATCCACAATCAACACCCATGGAAGCAGCAGTCAAGAAATCAAAAGACATATTGTGTTGGGCACATCTTCTGCAATAGACCTCTTTCAAGTGTTAAAAAGCAAAGACATCACTTTGAGGAGTAAGGTGTGCCTGACCCAAGCCTTGGTCTTTTCAATTGCCTCATATGCACGTAAAAGCTGGACAATGAATACGGAAGACTGAAGAATAATTGATGCCTTTGAATTATGGTGTTGGCGAAGAATACTGAATATACCATGGACTGCCAGAAGAATGAACAAATCTGTCTTGGAAGAAGTACAGCCAGAATTCTCCTTGTAAGGGAGGACTGGGAGACTTCATCTCACATACTTTGGACTTGTTATTAGGAGGGACCAGTCCCTGGAGAAGGACATCATGCTTGGTAGAGGGTCAGCAAAAGAGAGGAAGATCCTTAACAAGATGGACTGACACAGTGGCTACAACAATGGGCTCAAACATAGCAATGATTGTGAGGATGGCGCAGGACCGAGCAGTGTTTCATTCTGTTGTACGCAGGGTCGCTATGAGTTGGAACCGACTCCACAGCACCTAACAACAACAACCAGAAAAATAAAACCGTCCTACTTCTTACACTGAGATGCACATGCCTACACCTTTATCGTGCACTCTTCTTTGTGTCAGGCCAGCCCCAAATCCGTAGCAATGAGGCTGGTGGACCCGGAACCTCTGTTCTGACACAGGGGCGCCCCACACTCTGTGAGGGCCCCTGCTCACCTCGGGGTGATGACTTACCCCTTCTGGGAGAACTTCATGGCGGTGTGGATGGGGTAGCCGCCGGGCCCCATGACGTTGCACCGGGCATTGCAGAGCAGCAGCACGCGCACCATCTCCTGCTTCCCCATCTGGCAGGCCAGGTGCAGCGGGGTCAGACCGTGGTTGTTGACCTGGTTCAGGCCGGCCGACGCGTTCTTGCCTAGGAGCTGACAGCAGCACATTGAGGCGAGCTGGAGCCCACGCACAGAGAAGGCGCTGCACATTCCTCCCCTAACACCCACCCTGGCAGTCTCTCTTTGGGGACAAATGGGGGCAGGAAGGTAGACTCCGTGAAGACGCTGATAAGAACTTAAAGAGCAGCAACAGAGAAAGGAGCCTTTTCTTTTTTTCTCTTCTCTTTTTTGTCCTATGGGTCTATCTAATCTTTGGCTAAAAGGTAAACCTCTGGAGTGACTTCATTACTGAGCTAAAAGGGTGTCCGGGAGCCATACTCTCAGGGTTTCTCCAGTCTCTGTCAGGCCAGTAAGTCTAGTCTTTTTCTGAGTTAGAATTTTGTTCTATATTTTTCTCCATCTCTGTCCAGGACCCTCTACTGTGATCCCTGTCAGAGCAGTCAGTGGTGGTAGCCGGGCACCATCTAGTTGTACTGGCCTCAGTCTGCTGGAGGCCATGGCAGTTGTGGTCTATGAGTCCTCTGTACCAGTCTTTCCCTCGTGTCTTTAGTTTTCTTCATTCTCCCTTGCTCCCGATGGGATGAGACCAGTAGAGTATCTTAGATGGCTGCTCACATGCTTTTAAGACCCCAGATGCTACTCACCAAAGTAGAATGTAGAACATTTTCTTTATAAACTATGTTATGCCAATTGAGCTAGATGTTTTCTGAGATCACGGTCGGTCCCCACAGCTCTCAGCCTAGTTAATTCGGTCCCTCAGGGAGTTTGGATTTGTCCACGGAGCTTCCATGATCTTACCCTGAACAAGCTGTAATGGCTTCTCCAGTACTGTGTACTGTCTTACCCTTCACCAAAGTTACCACTTATCTATTGTCTATTTAGTGTTGAGAAAGGAGACTTTGAAGGAAGACAGACACTGACTGCACAGGTGTGGACTGGGGGCTGGCCTGGCATGACTATGGCTTATCCAAATCATCTCTAATCAGAGCACAAGAACCTTGAAAAGGTGGTTGTATCTAGGCATGGGCACCGGGGTCTGGGTGGGAGCGATACTCACATTTTATTGTACAGCCTTCTGTTCTGTTGGAATTTTTTTCTACATGAACATATTACTGTCTTTGATTAAAAAGTACCAGCATTAAAAAGAGGGCTGGGAGGGTTCTGTTTCCTTGCTTTGGGCTGAATGCTGTCTCCCTGAGATTGATGTGTGACCACTGTGCACCCACATGACCCCAGGATCACCTCACAGGTGCTCGCATCAAGGCCTGGGTACAAGGGCCAGCCCCCTCCCCCTCAACTCAGTTCTGTGGCCCTCCCTGGACTTACTGAATCTCAGGTTCTTTGGCGACAAGAGGAGACAATGACCCCCCACCCTACAGAGGGTGTTTTGAGAATTAACTAAACTAAAACATATACAATGCTCAGGACAGTGCCAGGCACAACACTAGCCCTGGATGAAGGACAGCTAGGGTTGTGACTCTTGGTCAGGGCTGTGAGCACACCCCTGCATCAAGGCCGGGGTGCATGGGGCACTGCACTGAGCACTGCGTGGGTTCTCAGTGTAGGGGTAGCATTCCCTTCCCTGAGAGTGCTAATCACATGATATGAATCCACATATTCTGGGATAATGTAGCTCCATTTGGCTCCCAAGGCAGAGAGAGGGCTATAACCTTTAGAAGAATCTTCTAAGCCTAGGCAATAAAACATCGTCCAATACTCTGCCTTTTCTTTTCAACCTAATCTGTATAAAGTAGGAGCCCTGGTGGTGCAGTGGTTAAGAGCTATGACTGCTAACCAAAAGATCAGCAGTTTGAATCTACCAACCACCCCTTAAAAACCTATGGGGCAGTTCTACTCTGTCCTATAGGGTCACTAGGAGTTGGAATCGACTTGATGGCACCGGGTGTTTGTATATCTAAAGTAGCCTTTCCTTAACACCACTTATACTTACCACACGTTTCTATCCCCAGTTCATTCTTCTGCCCAGATAATCAAAAAACTAGCAGAAGGAGAGCCACTGGCGTAAACGCCTAAGGAGGCAGTAGGAGATTTATTTGTTTTGAGTTCCTGTAAAAAGTTAAGCTCTGGTGACCCTGGACCATGACCTTTCCCAGGCAGGGGCTGAAATGAATGCGCTCAGCCCGGGGGTCTGGCACGTAGTAGGTGCTTGGGAAAAGTTGAAAGACATGGATTGACTGGAACTGGCCCTTCAGTTTAGTTTGCTGGGCTGATGACTTCCCCAGGGTTGTCAGAGCAAAGTGACAGAGAACGTGGGTCCTCCACAAGTTGGGGAGGGAGGAGCGGAGGAAGACGCTCAGGACTCAAGGGCCACGGAGGGGCATTGAGAGGCCCAGGGATGACACCTGAGCCCAGAGGCCCTAAGAGAACCACGGGCTTAGAGAGATGTCACCAGCGTAGGGGGTCCTGCCCCTCCACCCCTACTTACCTGCAGCACCTGAGGGTTGTCACCCTGGACAGCGTAGTGGAAGGCAGTCTCTCCACTGTTGTCAGTGACATCCATCTGGGCATGGCAGTGCTGCACCAGCTCCACCAGGGTCTCCCCGTCGCCCTTGCGGCAGGCCAGGTGCAGGGGTGTGCAGCCTTCCTCATTCTCGATGCTGTTGGCACAGCTGCGGGGGGCCCGGGAGACGAGCAGGTCAGGTGCCAGGTGGGAAGGGACGCTGAACCACCCAAGTACAGAAGCAGGGAAGTGGGGTAGGGAGTCCTGACATTCATGCCGTGCTTAAGCTAACACTGAAACTCAGGGTGGATTCAGAATTTATTTGCACTTGATGTCATTTGTATCCGACTTGCATCTGTGTGAGAGATGTGCCCCAGGGCCACACCAGTGTGAAGACGGCAGTGGGCTGGCACAGAAAGGGTCACAGAAAGCTGAAACCTCACTAACCTCAGGCAATTCACTTAACCTCTCGGGCTTTCAATATCCTTACCTGAAAAAAAGAAAAATCATACCTGCCACACCTGCCCTAGTGAAAGGACAGAACTTTCCATTCAAGATTAAAAAGAGAACTGTCCACAGAGATTAAATACCTCATTGTACTGCAAACTGTAAAGTGCAATGAGATTTTTGAGCTTTGGCCTGGGAGCTGGAACTGAGCTGCCGGGAGCAGAGAACCAGAGGTGTGGCTACCTCAGGGCAAGATGGCAAGCGGGAGCCTGTGGAAGGGCCCAGCTTAGTGCCCCGACTGGGGGCACCGGCTGATGTATCTGTTGACTGAATGACGGTATGAAAGCAGGTGATCCAGCTTCTAGAAGGGCAACCAGATCTTTGTGAGGAGACACCGAGGATGTAAAGCCCTTTTCAGCCCTCTCCGGCTGACGGAACTTGCACAGGTCACACACCTTCTCGTCAGATGATGATACCTCCTGAGGGTGTTGTGAGGATTAAATTTCATGGTGGGTGTCAAACAGCCTGAACCCTGGTTGGTCCTCAGAAATGTTATTTCTCCCTTGGACTCAGCATTCTTACATTCTAACCTGGGGGCCATGCTGCTCCTTTTTAAATCAGACTATCTGGGCAACCTTTGGGTTGACTGAGGGGAACTGAGGCAGGACCGAGAGACTCCCGCGGCTCCACCCATCCGCAAACGCAGGCGCACGTGCAGTGTCCAAATGGTCCCGTCCTCTGCCCACCCAGCAAGGTCCCCCGCCCACCTGATGATGCGGCTGTGGTGGAAGCACTCACGGATCCCCAACTCCACCGCCAAGTGGGCCACCGACCAGCTGGGGTGGTTGCGGATGAGGTCGGTCAGATGCTGCAGGACCTCTGCTTGCAGGACCTGGACCGAGCTCTCGTAGAAGGGCGGCAGCTGGGAAGAGTATTGCTGGAAGTTCACTAGGGCGTCAGCCTCTGTCTCCAGCTGGAAGAGCCTGTGGATGGAGAAGGAAGAAGCAGAAATGAGGCAGGGGACCCTCTGCTGACACCCCTGCGAGAAGCGGAAGCCGGGGGCTCCACAAGCAGGCCGATATCTGCTTCAGCTGTGCACTCACCAGCTCCCGCCGTTTCCCCTCCCCCACCAACAGATCCACACGTACATCTACATCCTCAGGAGTCTGGACTTCCTTTTTACTTGAAAAGAGTTCCTTTTCTTTTCTTTTTTTTAATACCATTATGTGGTGCTTTTATAGTTTATCAAAGCCTTGCCATATCCACTACTTTGATCATCACATCTGAGAGACCCAGCTTCAAGTCCTGGACCCCTAGCATATGTGGTTGTTGTTGGGTGCCATCAAGTCGATTCCAACTCATAGTGACCCTACAAGACAGAGCAGAACTGCCCCATAGGGTTTCCAAGGCTGTAATCTTTAGAGAAGGAGCCCTGGTGGCACAGTGGTCAAGCACTTGGCTGCTAACCAAAACCTCGGTGGTTTGAATGCACCAGCCACTCCACAGGAGAAGGATATGGCAGTCTGCTTCTGTAAAGACCACAGCCTTGGAAAACCTATAAGGCAGTTCTAGTCTGTCCTATAAGGGTCGCTATGAGTTGGAATCGACTAGACGGCAATGGGTTGTGAATCTTTAAGGAAGCAGACTTCCAAGTCTTTCTGCCATGGAGCCACTGGGTGGGTTTGGACAGCCAACTTTTTGGTTAGCAACCAAGCGTTTAACTATTATACCACCAGGGCTTTTTTCCCTAGCATATAATAAGAACTAAATAAGTGTTATTCAAACTAAATGTCCAACCATAGAACGTTAAATAAATTGTGGTATATCTATGTGATGGAATTTTATGCAGCTGTTAAAATATTTTAAAAATGGGGAAATGTTTATTTTGTAATATTAAGTTAAAAAAGGATATAAATTATATGTGATACAATGTGATCTAAACTGTGTTAAAAGAAAAAGTGCAGAAAAAGACTGACGAGAAATAATATATCAAAATGTGCCTAGTAGCAGGACAAATAATTTAAATGCTCTTTAAATTTAAATCCATTTCTGTAGCTTCTAAATTTTATACAGCAAGTATATATATTATTTTTTATAATTAGAATAAAAAATATATTATTTTTAATAATCATTTTTAAAGAGTTGGATTTGAGTCCAAGTTCTGCACTTACGCTGCTGTGTGACCCTTACTTCTCTGAGTCTCGTTTGAAAAGCAAGGCTAATTGCACCTGTCCTTCCTACCTTACAGAGTTGCTGTGAGGGCTAGATGAGATGACGATATAAGAGCACTTTAAAAACCTTAACAATTAGGTGTCAGTAACAATTAGACGGTTACTTGAAGTTCCGACCAGGGCTTTCAACATACCAGAAAGTTTTGCCCTATACACCTTGACAAGGCCGGTAACCAGCCTGAGTCTAGAAGAGGCAGTGCCCAGAGAATATTGGTTCAACAGGCCTGACTTCTTCTTCAAGACCACAAAGTCTGGAAGCAAATGCTTAACAAATATCTACTAAATGCCTGATCTGTGCCTGAAACTATTCTAAATGGAGGGGTAAATTAGTGAACAAAGCAGACAAAATGCCCTGCTCTCTTGTAGTCCATGTCCTTATTGGGGAGATCAATAAAATGAGAAAGGTGAAAAAACACAAAAGAAGGAAGTACATAAGTGGATTATCAGGTAGTAAGTGCTATAGAAAGAAAAATAAAGTAGGGAAGGAGGATATGGAAAGAAGCCATTCCTCATTCTCCTCAGCTGGTTTTTGTTCATCTCACCAATCTCTTAACACTGGAGCGTTCCACATCAAATGTTACTCATACGTCAAATATAATGATAATCAAAAACTGACCATCACTGGATTTAGTATCACTGAGATCATCAGTGACCTTGACAAGAGGACTTGGGGTGGAGTGGTGGGAACCAAAGCCTGATTAGAGTAGGTTTAAGAAAGAACAAGACCATCTAAGATACACCTATTGGTCCCATCCCATCCAGAGCAAAATGAAGAAAAACAAAGACACAAGGAAAATATTAGTCCAAAGGACTAATGGACCACAAGTACCACAACCTCATCCAGCCTGAGCCTAGAAGAACTATATGGTACCGGGCTACCACCACCAATGGCTCTAACAGGGACCACAACAGAGGGTCCCGGACAGAGCAGGAGAAAAATGGAGAACAAAATTCAAATAAAAACAAAACAAAAAACAGACTTACTGGTCTGACAGAGACTGGAGGAACCCCCAAGGCTATGGCTCCCAAACACCCTTCTAACTCTAGAACCGAAGCCACTCCCAAAGTTCACCCTTCAGCCAAAGATTAGACAGGCCTACAAAACAAACAATAACACACGTGAGGAATGTGCTTCTTAGTTCAATCAAGTATATGAGACCAAATGGGCAACACTCGCCCAAAAGCAAAGATGAGAAGGCAGGGACAGGAAAACTAGATGAATGGAAACAAGGAATCCGGGCAGAAAGAGGGAGAGTGCTGACACGTTTCCGGGAGTGCAACCAATGTCACAAAACAATCTGTGTATATATTTTTGAATGAGAAAGTAATTTGCTCAGTAAACTGTCACCTAAAGCAAAACTAAGAAGAAAGAACAAGAAGTGAGAGATTGGAAATAGCAAGTATAGGCAATGTTTCTGAGGAGTTTTGTTGCAGAGGGGAGCAAAAAAAGAGACTGAAAGTTAATGAGGGAAATTGAATCAGTATTTGAATGCTGAGGGGGATAGTCCAAAAAGAAAATGGGATCTCTCTGAGGACTTCCACTTCCATTAATGGCAAGCCAGATAATCTGAACTGGACCACCTACTGGAGACAGTCAAAAATGCTGGATAAAATATAAAAAGCATCTGCTTGAAGGCACCAGATATCTAATAAGACAGTGATAAATTACCTAATTACTGGAATTAGGGAATGAGGGAAACTCAAGGAATTGAGCCTGGAATTTAGGGCTTCTGTTCCTTGAGAGGCTGGAGGGAGCAGCAGCACCATTAACAGCTTCACGAAGGCAGGAGGGGACAAGAAAGCTGGTAACAGAGAACCCAAGGTTGAGAAGGGAGAGTGTTGACACATCATGGGGTTGTTAACCAATGTCATAAAACAATATGTGTACTAACTGTTTAATGAAGAACTATTTATTCTGTAAACCTTCATCTAAAGTACAATAAAAAAAATTTTTTTTTTTTAAATTATGCCAAAGTCAAAAAAAAAAACCTTTGGAAACAAATGACGACGATGGTCGCACAACATTGTGAGTATGATTCATTTCACTGGATTGTACACTTGAAAATGGTTAAAATGGTAAATTTCATGTTGTGCACATTTTACCACAATTTTTAAAAAAAGAAAACGGTGTGCCTCTTAGCTCAAGTAGATACAAGAGACTAAACGGGCAGCTTCTGTCCGGAGGTGAGATGGGAAGGCAGAGAGGGTTAGGAGCTGGCTGAATGGACATGGGGAATCAGGGGTGGAAAGGAGTGTGCTGTCACAATATGGGGAGAGAAATTAGAGTCACATAACAGTGTATGCATATATTTTTGTATGGGAAAAAATAAAAAAAGAAAAGGAAACTCTTAGAAAACCAGAAATAAAGAGGCTGTTTCTTAATATAATTTTAAAAACCTAGAGCAAAAACTACACATAATGGTAAGATGTTGAAGCTTTCCCCTTTGAGATCACAAACGAGATAATGATGCTTGCTCAACATTTTACTGGCCATTCTTGCCAGTAGAGTAAGGCAAGAAAAATAAATAAACAGTATAAAGATTTGAAAGGAAGAAATACAATTGTCATTATTAACAGATGATAGGATTGTGTTCTTACAAAATCCAAAAAGGCCTACAGATAAATTACTAGAATAAATGAGACTAGAAAGGTTGTTGAACACAAAGTGAATATACAAAAATCAATCACATTGCTATATATAGCAACAGTTAGAAAATGAAACTTTAATTAACAGTATTTACAATAACATCAAAAAATTTCAAACACCTAGGAATAAGTGATGTGGCACAACTCAAAATGAGAAGAAACAGCTGCAAGCATCCATTAATAATCGGAATGTGGAATGTACAAAGTATGAATCTAGGAAAATTGGAAACTGTCAAAAATGAAATGAACACATAAACATCGATATCCTAGGCATTAGTGAGCTGAAATGAACTGGTATTGGCCATTTTGAATCGGACAATCATATGGTCTACAATGCTGGGAATGACAACTTGAAGAGGAATGGCATTGCATCCATTGTCAAAAAGAACATTTCAAGATCTATCCTAAAGTACAACGCTGTCAGTGATAGGATAATAGCCATACGACTACAAGGAAGACCAGTTAATACGACTATTATTAAAATATACGCACCAACAACTAAGGCCAAAGATGAAGAAATTGAAGATTTTTGCCAACTTCTTCAGTCTGAAATTGACTGAACACGCAATCAGGATGCATTGATAATTACTGGTGATTGCAATGCGAAAGTTGGAAACAAGAAGGATCGGTAGTTGGAAAATATGGCCCTGGTGACAGAAATGATGCCGGAGATCACATGATAGAATTTTGCAAGACCAATGACTTCTTCATTGCAAATACCTTTTTTCACCAACATAAACAGCGACAATACACATGGACCTCGCCAGAAGGAATAGAACGGAATCAAATCAACTACATCTGTGGAAAGAGACAATGGAAAAGCTCAATATCATCAGTCAGAACAAGGCCAGGTCTTGGAACAGACCATCAATTGCTCATATGCAAGTTCAAGTTGAAACTGAAGAAAATTAGAACAAGTCCATGAAAGCCAAAGTACAACCTTGAGTATATCCCACCTGAATTTAGAAACCATCTCAAGAATAGATTTGATGCATTGAACACTAATGATCGAAGACCAGACGAGTTATGGAATGACATCAAGGACATCATACAAGAAGAAAGTAAGAGGTCATTAAAAAGACAGGAAAGAAAGAAAACACCAAAAT